GGGTAGTGCGGATGGGGGCCCTGTGTGGCGAGTGACCACATGTGTCTCCTGCCATCCACAGGTGTGGTATGACATTCAGAGCTACCAGAAACATCATGGTCCCCAGACCCTGTACCTGCCTGTAACTCTCAGCAGTGTGAGTATGCCGGAGCCACCTCCCGCCTCCATCTCCCTGTAGGTTTCCAGAAAGGGACGGGGGGTGTGCGTTGGGGTCCAGTACTTAGGTGGCACAGCTGGGCCGCAGGGCCAAGCTGGGCAACGGGAGAGCTTCACCGCAGCGTTGCTCTTGCCCTAGATCCCTGTGTTCCAGCGTGGCGGGACCATTGTGCCTCGGTGGATGCGAGTGCGGCGTTCTTCAGACTGCATGAAGGATGACCCCATCACTCTCTTCGTTGCGCTCAGCCCCCAGGTGAGAGCCTACCTTCCTAGGACTCAGTCCCCTGGGGTGGACCCCTCTCTTCCTCCCTCCCTCGCTCCCTCCGGGGTTCAGGCTCTCACCTGTCCCACTTCCTCCCCAGGGGACAGCCCAGGGACAGCTCTTTCTAGATGATGGGCACACGTTCAACTATCAGACGCGCCGTGAGTTTCTGCTGCGTCAGTTCTCGTTCTCTGGCAACACTCTCGTCTCCAGGTAATGAGGCGCCCGTCCGGCCTTGGCAGCCTCGGGAGGAGGCGGGGCCTCGGAGATGCTCAGCTCACTGTGCTCTTTTCTTGCTCTGCGTCTACTCCTTCCTTCTGCTCTGACATCTTTTTCCCTGGCGGGCACCCATTTTTGCTCCCTCCAGCTCAGCAGACCCCAAAGGCCACTTTGAGACGCCAGTCTGGATTGAGCGGGTGGTGATAATGGGGGCTGGGAAGCCAGCAGCCGTGGTGCTCCAGACAAAAGGTGAGGGAGTGACCTGGCACCCAGGGTGAGGAAGGGGGCACGGGGGCAGGGCTGGGGACGCTTGCCTGTTGGAAAGTAGTTGTGATGCTGCAGCCGGTTGCTGTGACTACGGCAGTCTGTCTGCTTCCTCCACCAGGATCTCCTGAGAGCCGCCTGTCCTTCCAGCACGACCCTGAGACCTCTGTGTTGATCCTGCGCAAGCCAGGCGTCAACGTGGCATCTGACTGGAGTATTCACTTGCGATAACCCAAGGGATGTTGGGGGTGGGAGGGGTGCTATTGTGATGAGAGTTACTCTTCCTTCTGCCTTGGAGTTGGAACCTCCCAGACTTAACCTTTCTCATCCCAGGACCAGGTTCTGCCAACGTCTGGGCAGGATGAGGGGGCTGCCTCTGGGCTCCGAATTCCTCTTGTGATCTTCCGGCCTCTCTTGCCCATTGACTCCGAGCCGCCCTTCGTCCCCCACACTCTGTTGCTCTGTCTGGAGCACATTCACCTGTGAAGACCTGGGGCCCGCAGGGTCCTTGCTTTCCCTTCTCTTTGTGGGGGGTCCTGAATCCTCCAGACTGTCCATTCATGCCTCTTGGTGTCGATGCCATTTCTTGAAAGAAGTTGAGGGCAGTGAGCTTTAGGGCTCCTTTTCTCCTTCCCCCTCCCTCCCCATGAGACTACTTTCCCTCTTTATATTTCCTCCCCCGGCTCTTCTCTGTCATCTCTCCCCTTCCTGTGCCCCACCGATGCACTGGGACCACTCCTTACCTGACGAGGGATGAATGGATCAAAGGAGTGAGGTTGCTGGAGAGCTTGCTCTTCCCTCTCTCCCAGCCTTCCCTCTCCCCCGTTCCTTCCAGAGCTGCTGCAGTTCTGACAGGGGCAGTTCTACCTCCCCTGCCCCTTAGGGGAAAGAAGTTTCCACTTCTTAAGTGGGGGTGGGCATTAAACTTTTTTCGTCCCTTTCTTTGTCCCCTTGAGGGGCATTCAAGATGGAGAAGTCAGTTGCGGTTTCATGGAATCACAGTTGCCTGTATTTATTGCTGGGGGAAGGCTGGGGGTGGGAGGGGATGATCATGTGTGCCCTGGCTTGGCCCTGAGCCCTGGGCGGGGGGTGGGGGAGGGTTAACTGGGGATGAGGGGGCATATTTGTGACCCTTTTTTTTTTTACTCCCTCTTGGCCCCCAGCTGTGACAGGTTTTGATAAAAGGAGAAACAATAAAGAAAGAAAAGATAACTGTTGGGTGTCTGGATTCTGGTTCTGGTGTGAACCACAGGTCCTCAGAAGCCTGAGGCCCTGGTGTTTTCATCTGGCCTCAGCACAAGCCTTGTCCGTTCAGCAAAAGGAGCAGGTCAGGCTTTCCTCAGTTTGTTGATAGAAGGGTCCTACAAGGCCAGCGGGTTGTGGATAAATTATGCAATAAACCTAACGAGTTAGGGGGACCACAGCAGACCTGACAAGCTCAGTGACCGAAAGTAACCGCACAGGATGGTCCCATCCCAAATTTCTGCCCTGGCTGGTGTGGCTCAGTGGATTGAGCGGCAGTTTGCAAGCTGGAGGGTCGCTGGCTCAATTCCCAGTCAGGGCACATGCCTGAGATGTGGGCCAGGTCTCTGGTAGGGGGCATGTGAGAGGTAACCACACATTCATGTTTCTTTCCCTCTCCCTCCCTTTCTCTCTAAAAATAAATAAAATCTTTAAAGAAAACAAAAACAAATTCCTGACTAGATAGGTAATGACTGGTAGTCACATCTCAGGCCAGAAAGGTCAATCTATAGGTGAGCTCTGTGCCTTATCCTTACGCATCCAGGCTAATATACCTTTAAAATGTCAGCAATTTTCTTTCCTACCCCTGGAAGGTACAACCCCACAGGCACCAGAGCGTTACCCTGTTCCCCACATGGGTCTCCATGTGCTGTCAATGGCACTAACTTCCCTGTACCCCCCTGTGTAAAGGAAGTGTCTCCGTTTTGCCTTCTGTCTGGTCCTAGAGATTTCCCTGCTCTGCTTTCTTAACGTACCACCAGTGACTCTCATGCACCTACCTGAAATCTTTGATCCTAATGTGTAAAATGAGCTATAAAACTTCCATTCTCAGCAGCATTTGAGCATTTGTTCCCTGGCCTATGTCCTCAGTTCGGCTCAAATGAAGTCAAAAAAGTCTCTACAGGTTTGGACCTTTCTTACATTTACAAGATTTTAATAGGCCCAGTGTTTTAATAGTGGCGACCAGAGCCGATGGGGTCACTCTGGAACAGAAATGGCTGTGTGGTCGGATGGACTCCCGTGAAAGGCTGCTTCTCTTTAGCTAGAGGCGGTTTTTAAAACTTCCCACTGTTCCAGTGACAGGAAGTATTTTGTTTCCCACTCTGTAGACCACAAGTCTTCAGGAGATTATTTTGCAAGAAAACTTTTTTTCCCCTTAAGGAAGAATACTTAGGATGATCGATACGTCATGACGAGTGTGGGAAGAAAAAATAATTTTCCTTTTGTAGTTTCTGACTGGTCTAATAATTGAATGAAATTACTAGGAGGAAGTGACCAAATGTATTATGTTATATACATGTGGGGTTCCCAAAGAATAGGAGACCGGAGGACACATCAGCCATTTAAGGTTTACGTGTCATTCTGAACTACGGAGAGGGCGGCGGGGGTCTGGGGCTTCAAAGGGGATGTGGGCAATTCACAAGTAGGAGAGCAAGAGCAAACATTTGGTGAACACATTCTTGCCTGGCCTCCCAGAAACAAAAGGACACAGAGGGGAGTCTAACAGACTTGCTAGATTTCTCCCTGCTTGCTACACTTAGTTCTGGTGACGATACGATGATAGTTCCCTTCCTTGGAACAGGTTTTTCTGAATCCCTGTAGGCAGGTAAGGGGTGAGGGTGGGGGTAGGAGGCTCTTTAGTCATTTGTTAACAAAGACCGCTTAGAGCCCTGGCTCGGTAGCTCAGTTGGTTAGAGCATCCTCCTGATACACCAGGGTTGCAGGTTCTTAAAAATAACCAGCTTGGCCAGGTAGCTCAAACTGAAAAACGTATTCAAGACATCACGGAGCCCTGGCTTGTGTGGCTCAGTTGGTTGGAGTGTTGTCCCCATGAAGTGAAAAGTCACGGGTTCTACTCCCAGTCAGGGCACATACCTGGGTTACGGGTTCAATTCCCAGTTGGAGCACACATGAGAAGGCAACCTGTGAACCAAAGGGTCACTGGTTTGATTCCCAGTTGGCACATGTCTGGGTTGCAGGCCAGGTCCCCTGTAGAGGGTTTGTGAGAGGCAACCACACATTGATGTTTCTCTCCCTCTCTTTCTCCCTCCCTTCCCCTCAATAAATAAATAAATAAATAAATAAATAAATAAAATCTTTAAAAAATATACCCAAAAGGCATACTTTGTGGTGGCAAAACTCTGCCTCTTCTCAGGAGTTAGGGGGTGTGTTCATGGAATACCTCAGCTCAGGAAATATTTTTCTTAAAAAAATTTGATGTATGAGAGAGAGGGAGGGAGAGAAACTTTGGTTTGTCGTTCCACTTCTTTATGCATACATTGGTTGATGCTTGTAGTACCCTGCCCCAGGGCTCAAATCCACAGCCTCGGTGCACCGCCAGTGGGGGGGTGGAAAGGCAGGAAATACTTCAATCAACAATCTGGGAGACAGCCCACTGCCTTGGCACTTCATCCCTCCCGGGTCCCCATTGTCATCTGAGAAATGTGGGTCAGAGGATACCTGGAGTCAATCCGGAAGAGATGTAGAAAATTGCACCATGGCAATTGGATAACGTCTGTCAACCTTCGTTACTTAGGTGTAAAACAGGACAATACCATCTATCGCCTAGGATCTTAGTGAGGATTATATGTGACGGACCTAGAACTCAGGCCTGGCGCATGACAGCCCCTAGCTCTCCTCCATTCGTGTAACACGTATGTACTGAGCTATGGTTACTGGGTCCTGTGGCTGACGGATGGATGAACGAATATAAGGAGAAAACCTGGGCACAATGACTTGGAGTTCAAGGGGAAGGTCTCAAAGTCGCTCCCACGTGTTCCCACCAGGCTTCTGACTGCCGGCCCGGCACGCTGGACACGCCGGATATGACGTCACTCACTCCCGAGGTTCCCAGAACTAGGCGATGGGACCGGAAATTAACCGGGGCAGAGGGTGGTGTTGCAGACAAACCTGATGTTGGCCCCGGCGGGCTCGCCAGCCCCAGCTCCCGGGAGCCGGTCTAGAAGCGCGTGAGGAAGGCGGAGCAAGGGGCGGGGCCGCTGCAGGGGCGGGGCCTGCAGGCTGTCCGGCGCGGGGCGGGGACCTCTTGTCCCCGCGGGACCCCGCCTGCCTGGACGCCGGCGGCGGCACGGCCATGAAGCTGAAGCTGAAGAACGTGTTTCTCGCCTACTTCCTGGTGTCGATCGCCGGCCTCCTCTACGCGCTGGTGCAGCTCGGTGAGCGGGGCGGGGCGGGGGTGCGGCGGGCCTGCCCGCAGGCGCCCGCCGCCGTGCTTCCCGCCCTGGGGACGAACCCCAGTGCAGACACCATTCATCCGGCTCGGCCCTCCGACAGCCCTCTGCGGCTGCTGGGCGCACTCCCTTCTTCGGAGCGCGCCGCGGCTTCCCGCCGCATCTCGGGTGAAAGCCAGACTCCTTTCCAGGGCGTGCAGGGCCCCGCAGGATCCTGCCGCCGTCTGCCTCTCTAACCCACTCTCCCAACCCTCTCGCTCGCTCTGCTCCGGCCACTCTGGCTTCGTGACAGTTTCTCGAAAACCGCACGCTCATTGCTCTCTCAAGCTCTTAGCTTGTTCCCTCTGCCTGCGGTGCCTTTCCCCCAGCTCTTTCCTGCTGCCTCTTTCTCATCCTTCAGGTCTCAGCTCAGATGTGACCACCTCAGAGAGGCCTTCTCTGACCACCTTAGCTAGAGGAACGCGTTTTCCCCCGGATTCTCTTTTATTCTCTATGCTGTTGGCTTCCTTCTTCGCCCTTAGCACAATTTGTAACGTTCTTTGCTTAGTGACTGCCCCCTCCACTGAAGTGAAAGCGCTACCAGAACAGGGGTCATAACTGCTTTGCTTCCTGATGCACCCCCAGGAAGAGCATTCAATAAACATTTACCCAATAATGGAATTGATAAATTTAATGAGTCTTTGGTCGCACAGCCAAGGGAACAGATTGAACTCTGCCTCTTATGCAGGGATTGCCAGACAGGGCCACTGCATGATCCCCGGGTATTTGAAAGACTGCCCTGTTTTGGGGAGAGAGGCTTGTTCTTTATGGCTGCAGAAGGCACAGTTAGAACCACCGGGTAGAAAGGATGGAGGCACATAATCAGCTCAATATCCAAATGAAAATTGTCACAGATGGAATTTGTTGAAGTTGGAGAGGGGCTGGCAATCAAGCCAGTGAGCCGCCCACCACCAGAGGTGTAGAGACGGCTGTTAGCGGACCCGTAAGGAGGTTGATGCCCTGGCTAAATTGTATGAGATTGTGGCCCTTTGGGATGCTGAACATGCTGTGATTCTCTGCTCCCATCCCTGCTTCCTGGGACCAGGCCAGCCATGTGACTGCCTCCCTCCCTTGCGGGCAGCAGCAGAGCAGCTTCGGCAGAAGGATCTGAGGATTTCCCAGCTGCAAGCTGACCTCCATCGGCCAGTCCCTGCCCCTGCCCAGCCCCCTGAGCCTGAGGCCCTGCCTACTATCTATGTTGTTACCCCCACCTATGCCAGGTATGGGCTCTGGTGCACCCAACAGGCCCGCATGGACCCAGAGATTGGGGTTGATGTGGAGATTTGGGGGCGGCATTGGGCCGGGGAATGTTCCTCAAACTAGGGCATGCCAAATGACAGGACAAATGAACCAATCTTTACTCAGAGATTTTTTTTTTTTGGGGGGGGATGGTTATTTTCCAGTAAAAGAGACAGGGGTGTACTATGAAGTAGAATGCAAAATTCCTGACTAATTTTAAGGTAATAAAGTTGCAAGGAAATTTGAAGCTTGCCAATGAGTTCACTCTCTCTCCTTAAGGATCTTTTGGTGAGAAAGTTTGAGAACCCCTATCCAGCTTGGTCCTGTAGTCATACCCGGGTCTAGAAATAGTTATGCTATTATTTACAGTGTGTTTACTCTTACCAGGTGCTGTGCTAACTCAGTGCCTTACCTTTCCAAAAAAAAAATTAAAATGTAGCCTTTTTACTCACATTAAACCCAAGTGGGGAACTGTGGTTTTGGATCTGCAGCGGAAGGGCCTGCTAATTGCTCCCTGGAATCAGGTGGCTGAGCCACCTAGGCACAGGCCGCGCTAGACCCTGGCCCCCCCACACCCCTACCCCCACCACACGCACCCCACCCAGCCTGTGGCAGGCAGGCAGGCAGGCAGGCAGGCCAGTCTGAACAACGAAGCAGCCTAGAGCAGGCTGGGCCACACTTCCCAGTACTTTGTGCAAACCCCAGTCATCCTCCCCTGGAGGGGAGCGAGTCAAGGGCCTCCTCTGAACTCCTCTGCCTGGAAACCCAAGCACAGGAGGAAAAGAAGCTGGTCCTACCGGTGCGTTAGAAAATCGTCATTTCACCTTTAAGTCAACATTGTTTTAGAGCACTGTTATTCCCATTTTGCAGCCCAGGAAACTGAGACTTGGGGAGAGTGAGCCATTTTCCCCAGATGCCTCACCTAATTAGACACCTAGCCTTCGAACCCAGATCTGTCTGGTTCCAAAGGCTGGACCCTTTGCTTATAGTCCCCCACAGGGTTGGGGTTGGGGTGGGTGACAGGCACGATTGGAAGAACAGGGCAGGTGAGTGTCAGTGTGAAGTTGACAGGCGAGAAAGAGTTGGGGATTGGTTGGGGAAAGGCCGTGGGGATGCTAGAAGTGGTTCGGAAGAAGCTATGTCTGCTAGCTGGAGTGGGCAGATGGTGTCCACCCCTTTCCCTCCTGCTGCATCTTCCCCCTCCGCAGGCTGGTGCAGAAGGCAGAGCTGGTGCGGCTGTCCCAGACTCTGAGTCTGGTGCCCCGGCTGCATTGGCTGCTGGTGGAGGATGCCGAGGGCCCTACCCCACTGGTCTCGGGGCTGCTGGCTGCCTCTGGCCTCCTCTTCACACACCTGGCGGTCCTTACTCCCAAGGCCCAGCGGCTCCGGGAGGGCGAGCCAGGCTGGGTTCGTCCCCGCGGTGTAGAGCAACGGAACAGGGCTCTGGACTGGCTCCGGACTGGAAGGGGCGCCATAGGGGGCGAGAAGGACCCACCTCCCCCAGGGACCCGGGGAGTTGTGTACTTTGCTGATGATGACAACACCTACAGCCGGGAGCTCTTTGAGGAGGTGAGCTCTGGGATGGGGCTGGGAAAGAGGCTGGGTGGCCCAGCTCCCTCTGTTGCCTTGGTTACCCTGGTTGCTCTAGGCTGCTGGGTGAGGAGGGGGGAACATGGAGGAGAGTGACCCAAGTGGCCCTTCGTGCTGCTCCCCTGCCCCTGGACCACCCCCTCTCTTTTTCTTGTCTCCTGACCTCTGTTAGATGCGCTGGACCCGTGGTGTCTCAGTGTGGCCTGTGGGGCTGGTGGGCGGCCTGCGATTCGAGGGCCCTCGGGTGCAGGACGGCCGGGTCGTGGGCTTCCACACGGCGTGGGAGCCCACTCGGCCCTTCCCAATGGATATGGCGGGATTTGCGGTCTCCCTGCCCTTGCTGTTGGCTAAGCCCAATGCCCAGTTTGATGCCACGGCTCCTCGGGGCCATCTGGAGAGCAGTTTCCTGAGCCACCTGGTGGATCCCAAGGACCTGGAGCCACGGGCGGCCAACTGCACTCGGGTAAGGGGGTGGAGGTGGGTCGAGTAGCTCTGGGGTGGGCAGGTGATGGGAGAAGTGGAGGGAGGCCCTGGGGAGGGGCATCAAAGGGCAGGTGCTGCAACCAGGAAGGACCCTCCAGAACTCAGCTACAACCTTGCTTACTCTCCTGAAGAGGAAGTCGGGAGCCAGCAGAAAAAGCTGGTCTGTTACCTGCTACTCTGTCTCTCAGAGTTCTGAGCACCGGTGTGGCCCAGAGAGGCGGAGGGATGAAGGCCCCGCTCTGGAGGCACAGAGGCTCCCCTCCAGCCTGCCCTTCGCACTCGGCAGCCAACGCTGTGTGTGTGTGCGGAGGGGGTTGGAGAACGCGGCCTCACTCAGGGCCCCGGGGTCCCGGCTGTGTGGCTGGGCCTGGCTCTAATGGCAGCCCTCCCGGGACAGGTCCTGGTGTGGCATACTCGGACAGAGAAGCCCAAGATGAAGCAGGAGGAGCAGCTGCAGCGGCAGGGCCGAGGCTCAGACCCAGCCGTGGAGGTGTGATGGACATCCCGCCCCGACTACAGCCTCATCAGGCACAGCCCTGTGGGCCTGGGCCCCCGGCCTGCCCAGGATGTGGTTTTCCAAGTCCTGACCCCTCAGAGCCAGGGTGGCCCTGTCCCTCTGCCATTGCAAGCCCTAGGGCGTGGCCCAGCTGCTTTCCCCCTCCCTCACCCTGCCATGTGGCACTGCCCATAAGCTGGGGACAAGCAGCCCTTGTGTTGAGCCTGGTTGGCCCTGTCTGGGGCGGAGCAAAGGACAGAAAGACTCAGGAGGGAGGGCAGCTGAGTAACTGGGTAACTTATTGGGGCTGGGCATGCACTGGGGGGCTGGAGGAGCTGGGCTGGACCCTCCCCACCTGAGCATGCTAACCCCTTCCTACCTCCACAGAATAAAAAAAAATATCAACCTGGAGGGGCCTCTGTTTTTTTTCTCATCTCTCGAGTCTGGCTCTTGCATTCTGATTCTTACTGGGTCAAGACCTTGGCGCCCTGGCTTCCGGCTCAGGCAGAAATCACTTCTCCGAGGGCCCCCATCCCCTCGAAGAGAAAGATCAATGGCTTCAGTCCGAGAGCTTTATTGCATCCGCACACCAGAAGCAGTCTCCAGCCCTTCCCGTGCCACTTTCCCGTCACCCTGTTTTCTGTTTCTGGGTGGTTCTGGCCACGGGGGCTAGGCCCTAGGACCCCTTGTTTCTCCTCAGTAGGTTCACTGATTATTCCAAACCCCCCTCACCCCAGGGACCACCCCCTGCCCCACCGGGGGCCCTGGTAAAAGAGTTGTGAGGTCTCCGGTCGGTCTCATCCACCCCTTCCCCGACCTCCCCCAGTCGCTGCCCCAAGCTCCAGGCCACTAGGCCTCAGGTAGATCCTCCTTAGGAGGTGCCTCTTCTGGAGGGGACTCCTCAGGGGCTGGCCTGTGGGCGGCCGCTCCCTGTAGCCACACTGTCTTCAGCATGTCTCTCAGCCCACCGGGGAAAAGATAGCCCTGGGTCTCTCCTTCCCCATCGATGACCCCTCCCAGCCCCTCCAGTGCTGTTTGCAGGTAGCGCAGGCCCAGGAGCACCAGAGTCTGGGGAAAGAAAGGGGAAGGAGGTCAGTGAGGCTCAGCATTTCCAGGGGCCCCAGAGTCAGAGGCCCAGATGGAGGGAGGCCGCAGCCACTTTGCTGACTCACCTGCAGCAGGAAGGTGACAGCCAGCATGCTGCCCAGCATGCTCGCCAACCCCTGCAGGTGCCCCAGCAGCACCCCGTGGCATCCTTGGGCCCAGAGGTTTAGGTTGGGCTGACGGGGATCGAAGAGGGGGTGGGCGTGGGGGTCTGAGAGCCGGGTTTGCAGGCAAGGCCTGGGCGAGTGGGGGTTGCAGCAGGAAAAAGGGACTCCGTCCATCAGGTATAGGCCTTCCACATTGCTCTGGATCTGGCTGCAAAGGGAGGGGCAGGGGTGTCAGGGGGTCTGGAGACAGAGGCCTTGGGGAGAAGCTTCGGGGCACAGGAGTTGAGAAGGGAAAAATGAGAGGAAGACATTTACTGACTGCTTTGCTCTGTGCCAGGCATGCATAATTCATTTGTCTTCACAGCAACTCTGTAAGGTGGGTGCTATTATTATCTCTGTGCTACGCAGGAGGAAAGGGCCCAGAGGAGCTTGGTAACATGCCCTGGGTCACACAGCCAAGAAATGGTCGAGCCGTAACCCATTCCCTCAATCACTGTGCCCTATTTATTGCCCGTGTGGGTGAGGTGCGGTTTTAAGGGATGGAGGAGGAGGAGGAGGGCGGAGAGGAGAGAAGCGAGTCACTCACTCAACTGTGTCCTGGTCATTGGGATCCAGGTAACGGCTGCTGACCCACTGGACCCCAAACCAATCCTTGTACCCGTGGCGCCCACAGCAGTGGTGCCTCAGCTGCAGCTCATCCATCAGCCGTTTGGCATGACAGTGTCCTGGCACCTCGGTGTCCTTGTAGTGAGCCATGGCAGCCCCCAGGCCTTCCTCCAGCCCTGCGTCCAGACTCCCAGGTAAAGCCAGGGCTAGTGCCAGGGCGAGGACCAGGAGCCCTCCACCTCCTGCAGTACCAGCCACCAGCAGTGGGCCCAGGACCCTTCGCCAGGGAGGGTATTGAGCTGCATCCAGACTGGCCCTGCTGGCTCCTGCACCCACCAGTCCGGTGCCCAGAGCCACTGCACCAGCTGCCAGGGCAACCTGGGGCAGGGCAGAGAACGGGCAGGAGGGAGCCAAGAAAGTGCGGAAGTGCCAAAGCTGGACCAGGAGGTGCCCGCTACACAGGAGAGTGAGGCCACCAGCCAGCGCCAGTAGCCAGGAGAGGAGCCAGAGCCCCTGCGCCAGACGGATCCGGGGCTGGAGGGGCAGCACCAGGGGCAGCACGGGCGCCATCTCCCATCTCTGCCCAGGGAAGAGCAGTGTTGTCAGGGACCCGTTGGCTGGGGCAGGACGCTGAGTCAGCTCAGCCCGGCTCGAGCTGGGCTAATGCCACCCTGACCCCAATACCCTGGGAATCCTCCCACCCCAGTTTAATAACCTGCAGCCCTATCCCCTCTGCCTGCCCCAATTCGGGATGCCTTGGCCTTGCCCCTTAGGAAGAGTCCCGCCTCCGGGCCCCTCCCGGAAGAGGGGTGGGGCTGGTCGGCTCAGCCCCCGAGGGGCTAGGGGCTGGGGGGCAGGGACACCCGAAGGACCCGGCTCCCTAGGGTGTCCCCAGGGAGTCCGGGGGCGGAGATCCCGGAAGGGCCCGGAGGGCGGAGGCCGGACTAGGGCCAGGGGGTCAGCGGGTTGGTCCCGCCCCATGCTGAGCCGCGGGGCCCGGACAGGGAGGGGTTACCAGGCTGCCCGGCCCCCCCTTGTCCCGCCCCCCCCTCCCGCGCTTCCTGGCGGCTCCGCGTCCGGCGCCTGTTTGTGCTGCGGCGCTGGGGCCCGGGACGGCCCCGCCAACCCACCCCCGGGAGCCGAGAGCGGCCCCGGGAGAGTCCGAGGCCCCAGCGGGCCCCGAAGACTGCATCCCCCGCCCCCTCCAGGACCTTTCCCCGAGCCCGACAGCGCCCCCGGGGGGTGGCACGGCACCTTTGCGCGCGTGCCCGGGGTGCTTCCCCTTCCCCTCTCCCTGGCCATGGTCCCCGCGGCTTAGACGCCTCCTCCGCCGCTGCCGCTCGGAGCAAGCCCGGGGGCAGGATGGACGGGGCCGGGGGGCCCGGTGAGTACGGGGCGGGTGTGGGCGGCGTGCCGCTTCCCGGAGCGCCCGGCCGGTGGGTCAGGCGCTGCTACTGCCTGCCGGCCGTCTAGTGGCGTCCCCGCGTGCTCCACGGACCCAGGGGCTCTGAGCATCCTCCACTGTTCCTCAGGTCGCTCTCCCTAGTTACTTGGGTCCTACTACTGTCATTTCGGACTTAGCCAACCTCGTCCTACCCCCACCCCCACCCCATGTTCCTCAGGGCACCTCGATGTTTCCCTGTCTCCTGTGTTACTCTGGGCCTCTTCTGCTGGTATTTTGGGTCTTTTTACTTTTGACCCCCACGGTTACCCTAGGACCTTCCCTATGGCTCTGTCTCCACTGGTGCTCTTTCCTGTCATTCTAGATTTCTTTTCCTGGTCCTCTGAGTCCCCAGAATGACTGCACTCTTGTGTCCCCCATTCTGTCCCCGTGCTGCCTGCTCAGTTTCTGTGCTTTCCCCTGAGACCCGAGCTTGCTGTGGGGTGGGCCCTGTCGCGTCCCTCACCAGTACTGCGACTCCCGAGGTGGTCCCCACGTTCCTCGGCAGTGCTCTGTATTTCCCCCCCGCCCCCCGTACTCCATGGTACACCCTGCCTTTGCGGAGGCTGGGACGGCAGCAGGAAAGGAGCTTTGCCAGCCTCTTTGCCTGCCCTGCCAGAAGGAGGCCCTTGATCCTCCACCACCGGTCTCCTCCCCTCTGAGCAAGCCTTCAAGCCTGGGGCTGCTTTCAGGGGGCAGTCCCGTCGGACAGATGCAATGTTGGGGGCAGAGAGAATCACCTCGACTCACTCCCCAGGTGGCGGTACATTCTGAGTGCTCCTTGCCCCTTTGCCAGGTGAGGGCCCTGCTCAGGAGGCCCTGCAGTCCCTGAGCCGGCGGCTTCAGGTGCAGGAGAAGGAGATGGAGCTGGTGAAGGCGGCCCTGGCAGAAGCCCTTCGCCTGCTGCGGCTGCAGGCGCCCCCCACCTCCCTGCAGGACTCTGGCAGGATAGCTCCTCCGAGGGACAGGTTTGCATGTTGTCACACCCTCTCCCCCTCCTTCTCGGAACCTCAGAGGGCATCGGGTTGATTCACTGTCCCCTCGGCAGCCCTGCAGCCCCACCGGGACTGCCACCCTCGTGCAGCCCCTCCGTGGTGAGCCGAGGCACCCAGACGGAGACAGAGGTGGAGACGGAGCCACCCCCGGGAACCCCTGGCCTGAGCAATGGGCCCCCAGCCCCTCAGGGGAGCAGCGAAGAGCCCAGCGGGACCCAGTCTGAAGGAGGGGGCAGCAGCAGCAGTGGCACTGGCTCCCCTGGGGGCATTGGCTCCCCAAGTATTCTCAGGCTTGTACAGACCCCACAGCGCGCTGACTCGTGAGTGTCCTGTGGCGGAGGCTGGGAGGGGTGGGAGCACCGGGGGGCGCGAGTAGGGGCGGTGACCTTCACCTGCCCGCTGTGTTCCCGTCAGGGTGCGGAGAAACTCCTCCTCGTCCCCCTCCGAGCGGCCTCGACAGAAACTCTCCCGGAAGGCAGCTTCCTCGGCCAACCTGTTACTGCGGTCAGGGAGCACAGAGAGGTGGGCGAGGCTCCCCCGACCTGCCCCACCCCAGGCTCAGGCTCTTGGCTTTCCTCATCCCTCACTCGCTTCCCTCGGTGGGGTGGGGGGACCTCGTTGCCCAACAGGAAGAAAGGAACAAGCACTCCTGGGGCGCCTGCTGTGTACCGGGCACTGTGCTAAATCCTCGACCTCCTCCATCTCATTCAGTCCCACGACATCCTTGGGGGGTAGGTGGTCTCATGCTGTTCATTGTCCAGGTGAGGAAGCAGGCTCAGAGAGGGTAAGTCATTTGCCTGGGGTCACACAGCTAGAGGCAGGATTTGAACTTAACTCTTCCGGACTTAACTCCCTTGCCCTTTCCACTGCCTGGTAATGCACCTCCCGAGATTCCAAGAGCCTCCGTGATTTCCATGGATGATTGTTCTCAGTTTCAGTTGCCCCCTCCTCCAATTTACCAGATTTTACTTTTAGAGAGAAAGGAGAAATCCCAGTGGCTGAGCACAGTTGTCTCAGAGTGCCTAAAGGCCCCAGGACATCCGGGTGCTCGTTCTAGCCCTATCCTTGGTCTCTCCTTTATTCTACGGAGAGATAGTACCACCCTATAATTATCTGATGACAGTGACGTGTGGAATGCTCACTTTCCCCTGGAGAG